TTAGTTGTCAAGGTCCAAGTAGGAAAATCAGAGCACCCCTGGTACAGGGGAAGCAAAGCCAGAACAGGGTGAGGATAAAGAGGTGGCACAGCACAAGAGGATAAGGAGGGCACCATACTGGAGGACTGCCCAGCACAGAGTACATCAGCCTGAACAAGGTCAGGAAGGTATCCAAGCAAGGGGAGAGGGGGCAGCTTGGCATAGGTTTTGGTATTCAAATAGGCTAAGGAAAGTCTCTATAGGAGGGCAGCTTAATGCAGGGTGTCAGAGATCGAGAAAGGTGAGAAAGATTTCTGCATAGGAGGGTGGTTTGGCAAGGAGTACTGGAGCCCTGGACGAGTGAGGATGGCAACTGCATAAGAAGAGAGTGGTAGTAGTCAGAGGTTGGTCACATACAGAAGGATGGGTCAAATATGTTCATATATAAGGATAATGGGAGTGAGGTTTGTCATTGTCAGAGAAAGGAGTTACAATCACAGAAAGGGAAAAAATTAATACAAACCCTGGGATATTGGATTGAAATTGGAGGTATTCAAGTGAACTCATTGTTTCCAATTGTATAGATGGATTCAAAAATATAGAAGTAAATGCACATATATTTACGCATGTGTTCATTTCCATACTTATTTTCTAGCCTTGAGAGCAGTGATACCCCAGTATCAAAGAGTGTATGTAGTAAACAAATCTTCATTTCTAAACACCATACCCCACCAAAATGAACTAGGACTCCTGGGAGAAATAGCTGTTTCTAAGGTTGGAGCAGGGAATGTACAAGAAAAGACTGTTCATTTTCTTGAGCCAGAAGATAATGAAGTGCTCAAAGAAAGATGGGTGTCTTTCCAAAGGAAATAGAGACCAAATTAAATGAGGCTTGCATTGGTCAAATCTAAGACAATTTGAGAATAAAAATCAATATTGATAGTAAAGGATTATAAGCAATTGAATAAAATATGAAAACATGAGTCTACAGAGACTAAGTAAATTGAAAGTTTGCTAAGGAACAGGATATTTACATGGTTTCAAAGTACCTCCACATAGAATAATTATTAGTTACATAAAGAAAATAGTAATTCTACAGTGGAGAGGCCTGGTGGATACCACCTCAAACAAGGGGACAAAGTTAATATCATCATAATGAGATATTTAAAACCATGTGTCATCTGATCAGATGCAATGAAAAGAACACAGCCTCACTTCTGTGATATTCCTGCAAAAGTTACCTGAATCTAATGACAAGGAAACATCAAACACAAATTGTAAGAAAATAACAGACCTGATATTTTCAAGTGTCAAGGTCATGAAATAATTTTCCTTCAGAATTTATTTTTCATTTTATTGAGGTATAATTGACATATAAAATTGTAATATATTTAAAGTACAAATATTTACATTTTTGGTAAGAATACTTAATTAAGTTCTCTTAGTAAATTTTAATTTTACAATACAGTGTTATTAACTATAGTCACCATGTTTTATATTGGATCTTCAGATCTTATTCATGTTATAGTTGAAAGTTTATAACCTTTCACCAACCTCTCCCTATTTCCCCCATCCACTCATCCCTTAGCAACCACTTTTCCACTCTGTTTCTATGAGTTTGTACTGGTTTTTTTTGTTGTTGTTTTTTTTTTTGTTTTTTTGTTTTTTTTGTTTTTTTTAGATTTCACATATAAATGATACCATGCAGTATTTGTCTTCTTCTTCTGGCTTATTTCATTTGGTATAATACCCTCAAGGTCAATCCACATTATTGTAAATGGCAGATTTCCGTCTTTCTCATGGCTGCAAAATATTCATGTATATATTTTTCCACATCTTTATCTATTCATCCACTTTCAAACACTTCAGTTGTTTCCATATCTTGGCTATTGTAAATAATGCTGCAATGAACATAGGAATACAGATCTCTCTTCGCAATTCTGTTTACATTAAATTGGATATATACCCATAAGTGGGATTGCTGGATCATACAGTAGTTCTATTTTTAATTTTTGGAGGCATCTCCACACTGTTTTCTACAGTGACTGCACCAATTTACATTTCTACCAACAATTCACAAGGGTTCCCTTTTCTCCCATTCTTGCCAACACTTGCCATCGTTTGCCTTTTTGGTAGAGAAGAACCATACTAACAGGTGTGAGGTGCTATCTCACTGTGGTTTTGATTTGCATGTCCCTGATGATTACTGATGCTGAATGTCTTTACAAGTACCTGTATGTCTTCTTTGGAAAAATATCTATTCAGTTTCTCTGACAATTTGTTAATCTGATTGATTTTTGCTCTTGAGTTGTATGATCCTTCATATATTTTGAATATTAACTCCATATCAGATATATGATTTGCAAATATTTCCTCCAATTCTGTAGTTGACTTTTCTTTTTGTTGATTATTTTTTTTTCTGTGCAGAAGCTTTTTAGTTTGGTGTAGTCCCACTAGTTTATTTTTTCTTTTGTTGCCATTATTGTAAGATTCTTATACTATTATGTGAAGTGATATAATATCATTTGAAGGTGGACTGAATTTGGCTAAAGATGTATTCTATAAACCCTAAAGCAACCATTAAAATAACAAAATAATGAATCCTATCTAATAAATCAACGGACATAAAATGAAATCATAAACAAAATAATTAATACAAAAGAAGGCAGAAAAAAAGAAAAGGAGCAAATAGATGAGATAAATGAAAAAAAAGGACCATAATGGCAAATTTCAATGGAAAAGTATCAATAATATTAAGTGTAACTGGAATAAATATCCCAATTAAAGGTAAGATATTCTCCGATTATACACAAAACAGCAAGACCCAAATATGTGTTGACTATAGAAATCCACATTAAATATAAAAGACTCAAATAAATTAAAAGCATAAGAATGGTAAAGACAGACCATGCTAACACATATCAAAAGAAAGCTGGAGTGGCTATATTAATATTATCACACAATAGATTTCGGAGAAAAAATATTACTAGGGAAAAAGAGAGTCGTTTTATAAAAATAAAGGGGTCGATTCATCAAGAGCACATAGCAATCTTATATGTTTATATACCCAATAACGAAACTTTGACAAAAACTGATAGGACTTCGAGGAAAAATGGATAAATCTACAATTATAGCTGAAGATATCAACACCCCTCTCTCAGTAACTGATAGAACAAATAGACCAAAAAACCAATAAGGATACAGAAGACTCAAAGAACACTATTGATCAACTTGAACTGACATTTATAAAATATTATATCTAACAACAGCAAAATACACATTGTTTTCAAGTACATGTGGAACATTTACCGAGACAGATCATATTCTGGACCATAAAAACAAGTGTCAATAAAGTTAAAAGGATCCATATTATACAATATATTTCTCTGACCACTATGGAATTAAATTAGAAATTAATAATAGAAAGATACCTTGAAAGTTCTCAAATACTGGAAACTAATAACACAATTCTAAATAACTAATATGTTAAAGAAATCAAAAAGGAAATTAGCAAGTATCTTTAACTTTTTTGAATTAAAAAAATGCAACATCAAATATTGTGAAATATAGCAAAAGCATTACTTGGAGGGAAATTTATAGTACTAAATGTCTATATTAGAAAAGAAAAAAGTCAAATTAATTACCTCAGCTTCTACCTTCGTAACCTCAAAAAAAAAAAAAAAAGCAAACTAAGCACAGAATAAGCAGAAGGAAATAAAACTGACAATTAAATGGAGAACAAGAAAAAAGAGGGAAATCAGTGAAAGCAAAAGCTGGTTTCTTGAGAAGACCAATAAAATTGATAACCACTAGCTAGACTAAGAAAAAAAAAAGAGAATATTCAAGTTACCAACATTAAGAATGAGAGAAGTACATCACTGCAAACTTTACGGATATAAAAAGGATAATAAGGAAATTATTATGAATAATGTCATGCCAATAAATTTGACAGGTTAGGTGAAATGGCAAATTTTTTGAAAGGCGCAATCTGTCAAAGCTCATTCAGAAGAATGGCATCATAACAATTTAAGAAGTGGAACTTATAGTCAAAAATCTTCCCACAAAGAAAATTCCAGGTCATATGACTTTATTTGTGAATTCTCTTCATTATATAAGAAATAGTACCAGATCTTTATAATCTCTACCAGAAAACTGAAGATGAGGAAATACTTCCAAATTCATTTTATGAAACCAACTAATTTTGTTCCAGACATCAGTTGTTTTAGGTTACCTCCCATTTGTACATATTGAATTATAAGGTGTTTCAATAATTAAAAAAAAAACTTCCAACAGACAAAACTTTTCTATCTAATGATGTTTATATTTTAAATGAACCTTAAGAGTGTTATTACTACAATATGGAAAGACTTCCCAAACATAGATTAGCCTGCAATGGATTTCCAAAGTAATCCAATCTTAAATCAAATTTACTGATGTACAAGGACTTCTTTCCTTTCTAAGCATATGAGCAAAATTATATATGATTTCATTAAATATTTTTCTATTCATCCTAAACAGGAGAATGAAAAGCATCTATTACTTTCTTTGAAAGATGTGCCTACAAGCACTAAATATTTAAATAAAAAAATACCCAAAGATGATGTTTCATTCTTAAAGGTTAAGCATATTTGAAGACTAATCAAACTTCACATAAAGATCACTTTTAAGAAGCACCTATAATCTTTGGATCTAACATAATTTTTATCTAGTTATTTATTAAGTAAATTATAATCTAAGTTTTTTTGAAAATTATATATAAACTCTTTAAGTAAATATTTGGTTAATAAAAATACACCAATTCCTCAAGAAAGAAAATTTTAATTTTACTATAACATAAAAGATAACATAAAAGATACACTGGGGGAAAATTTTGCTTTAAGATGGCACTAAAAATCTAGATATTAAATAATAATGAAGTGGTTTACCAAAACATTTTTATATTTTTCAATTGTTACATCACATTAAGACAAGTTATATCACAATGTATAATAATATAACATATAATCTATATATAAACATACCGTGTCTTGCTTTGGAATTTGGATTAAAACAGAAAGAAGCTGCTCTGTATCAAGAAATCTTGATATAACTGAAACAAAAAATATGAATATTTAAAAATTTGTTACAATAAAAAATAAAATAAAACTCTGTTACAGTTTAAAAACACAGATTATGTAAAATATCCTCAAATAATAAAATAGAACACTTCTACCTGTAAATATTACTTGCTTTAATTCTTTATCTATCTAACATGTGCCAGGAATAAAGCAATAAATCCTAATTTTTTTTTTTTTTTACTTTTGATTATTCACAATCTGTCTTCAAAATTTGACATTGTTGATTACTCCTTCCTTCTTGAAACTACTTCTCTGGCTTTTAGATGTTGCTTGTCATAATTTTCTTCCCACATTTTTGATCTCTGACTTTCATTCCTGATGCTTAAAAAATTAGGTTAAAAGTATAGTTCAACAACTACCATGTAACCTCTTAGAAGTTATGTAAGTTCTCTGAACTTTAGATGTCCTCATCTTTTAAATGTGGACAATGACATCTACCTCCTAGGATTGTTGAGGATTAGGTGAGATAATATGTGTAAAGTACCTTGCACATAGCAGAGCTGTTATTTTACTCTTCCTAACTCATTTCCAGTTTAAGGTATTCTATTAAAGTAAATTTATAAATAATTATAACCTATCCCTTTTAAATATTCCCAGGTTTTGTTTTTTGTTTTTGTTTTGTTTGTTTGTTTTTTAACTTTAACCATTTAACATGCAGGTCTTTTTAAGAGTGCACTCTTTTCCCCATTCTTAAAATACAGTAAACTACAGTAACTATTTCTTAATGACTCATGGTTATTATTACTGTAACACATGACCTCGAAAGTTTTTATGTAGACTTATTGATACTCTACATAAAGTGGTCTGACCTATTACCCTCAAAAATTTTTTATGTCACTTGCTTCCTATTGAAACTGCTAAGTATCTTCTGATAGCTTTCAGTTTGCCTACTTCTAAAATTGTGTCCTTTTCTAATCTGCAGCTACTACAGTAAATTTTCTTAAAACTGTTTTAACAATTAGAGTAAGGAGGCTGAGTATACTACTGTTATACTGTTCCATATGACATAATACTATTATGACATTTTACATGTGATTATAATGTCAGACTCTCTTAAAGTCTTCACTTCAGTCTTTCTCTTTTTCAGTCTCTTCCTTCTTCCTTCCTCAAATCTAACAACCAGAATGTTTCAAAAATAAGGATTTGATCATATTACTCTCATGGTTTAGAACTGTCATCTCCCTATTTCTTGCACGATAAAATTCAAATTTCTTAGCATTATATAAAAGCTCTTCATAAGCTAGCCCCAATGCTCATTTCCTGCCATTCTCTAAAGTTTTAAGTCATAAATAACTATTGTTCATGCCTTAAATGCAGCAAGCTCTTTTATACCAACATAAGTGTAACTGCAGAAGCTTATGTTAACTCTAGGTTTCCTAAGTTCCCAGAAAAACAAGTGTACCCTAAAAAGGAATGACTCTTCAACATCATAGCTGATGGCACTTATACCTGATCTTTATCCCTACCACATCTAAAAAATATTTTCGTTATCCCTATGTGCATCAACATACTTTGCATAGGTATATTCCCTTTTTCTTGAATATCATTTCTAGGATTCTCCTGTTGTCAAAATCCTACTCATTCCCTTAAGACAGAACTGAAATATTATCTGTGACTTCTACCTGAATTCTATCCTTATCCCACTTCCCTCCTCTGTGTTCCCATAAATACTCAATTACTGACGCATTTACCACACTATGGCATACTGAGTTATGTTTCTCTAACATAAATGTAAGTTCATTGAGGACATAAACGTATAGCTTAATCTTTCTCATCTTTTTATCCCTAATATCTACAAATTGCCTACAATAAAGTAAGTACTGAGTTTTTTTTTTAAATGAGGTTTGGATTCTCATTTTAATAAACTCTTAAAACTGTTGTATTTCTGCTCCTCTACTTTTTAATGCTAAGATAAATTATAAACTGTCAAAATACAGAAAACATAGAAATGGTTGGGCTTGATTAACATTACATGATTAAATGACTTTTTCTATTCCTGGCATTTATGTATCATACAGAATGCCAGGTAAAGGTAGGCCAACAAAATGTTGCTGTGAACAACAAGAAAAGGGTTACCAGTTAAAAATGGCCCCCTTTTACCTTTTACAAAGTCTCACAAAATATACTGGAATATACAAAAAAAGTGCCTGTATTCAACACTGAAAATGCAAAGTCACAGTTAATATAATGTCAGAATTTTGAAGGAATTATACTAATTAAAAGGTATTTGGAATTGGACTCAGGAAAAACTGTTCAGGCTGTAAATGCCTTCTCGATTTCATATGCTACTTCAGTCTCCACAACTGGAACACCAGGAGGGGTGGAAGGAGAATGGGGGTATGGAAAGCAAACGAACCTGCTAGAAACCAGTAGCTGGACTAGGAACAATGCATATAAATTGTCTTTCCACCTATAGGCTTAAGAAGAAAATTGCACTGCCATGCCAGTGAACAAATAGCCAGGTGCCAAGGGCAATTCTCTTACCTCATGTTATGGTTTGGATTGCATCCTCCAGTAAGGTATTTTGAAGTCCTAAACCCCAGGGCCTGTAAATGTGACCTTATTTGGAAACTGGATCTTTGCAGATATAATCAAGTTAAGATAAAGTCATTAGGGTGGGCCTTAATCTGACTTATAAGAAGACGATGCATTTTTTTCTAATAGTCTATATTTATTAAATTAGATGATATTCATTTACCTGACTGAAGTCCAAAAAAGAGTTCCTCATCTTGAAGTAGTTCTTGAACACAATCTAATCTCATGTTAATAGTTTCAATATCAACTAGAGGTTCTAATATATTAGAACGAAGTCTTCTGCTCCCTCCAGGAGTCTTAGTATAATTTAGAATACCAAAGAGAGTGTGATTATTCCTTAAAAAACACAAGTCAAAACAATTTCACCAAATATACAAAGGAAAAATTCAAGGAAATTGCCATTTACTTCATAGTTAAATAATACTATAATCTACAGTAGTGATTCTCAAACTTTAATGTGCACACAAATAATGGGAGTATTCTGATTCAGTAAGCCTAGGACAAGGCCTGAGAATCTACATTTTGAGTAAGCCTCCAAGTATGCTGTCAGTCAAAGAACGACACTTTGATTAACAAGTATCAACAGTATTTTCTTATATTTAACAATTTTTTTCATAGGTCATGTACAAGATTCAGACTAATATAAAATGTTCTAGTCCATGGCATTCCATCAGTAATAGCAAGAGATCAATAATAATTGATATAATACAGATATAAAAATTTTTCCTGTGTTAGAAAAATATGAAAGCAGGTTGGCTCCATAGTGTAGTGGTTAGCACGTCTGCTTTACATGCAGAAGGTCTTGGGTTCATGCCCCAGGTGGAGCCACGGACCGTTCCTGGGTGCACCAGGCCCCAGGTATGCCAGGCTCCCCAAGTGCGCCCGGGGCACCAGGCCCCAGGTGCACGCTGCAAGCATGTGGGAGAAGATGCCCCGCTTTCAGAGATCCAGTTCTTAAGGGGAAATGGCAATATCCATAAGTCATGGGTGGAAGTTGGGGGCAGGGGAATTAAAGAGGGGAAGAAAAAGAAA